TCCCCATCTCAAAAAAAAAAAAGAACTAAAAACGCCTAAAATTTATTGTCAGTATTAAAACCAGCATGCTGTGATCTATCAAGTAATCATGTGCAATTTCCGGGTTTGTTAATAATAGTGCTCACCATGTCATAACTTTTGAACTTCTTTATGAGTGCATGAGCCCTTTTCAGGCCCATTCCTGGCAATGATTGCAAATAGTCACACCCACTCAAAATGCACATCTCAAGAAGCATCTGCTTAGTGAAACCTGTCAAATTTAAATCCTTGTTCTGTTGTAGCATGGAATTCCTAAACTCAACACCTTGCCCAAACTTGTCCATTTTGTAAATGATCTGAAATTCCATAAAGGTTTGCAGAATTCCAGCCAAAACTCAGTAAAATAAACACACGATGTTAGGAAAAGGATACAGATACACTGTGAAGCAGCAATAATTAACTAAAGTTTGAAAATTAAAATGGGAACATGCAGTGGCAACAAAGGATTTGTTCCGTATTGCACACTGAGGATTGTCTGAAATTATGAAATTAACCAATAACTTACTCTGGGACAACCAAATGCTATCAAGTCTGAATCCTCTGTTATAACAGCATCAACCTGTTTGCTGACTGCCAGGAATGTCATTTGGGCATCTGCCTCATAAGGAGCCACAACATAACCAACATTCTCCTGTTTTAAGACCTTCACATGCAAACATGTAATTGGAAGAAGTGAAAACATTATCTATCCTTACATAGGTATACCAATCCATATGGAGAAACGCATAGATTTAGAGACAGACTGACAAGTCGCCATTTCATCTTTCTAAAAAATATCACAAAAATAAAATCTCTCACTACCTGGATTAGTTCATGTGCAACTGAAGGTGAGATATCAACAGCCTTTTGATAGCACTCAAACGCAGCTGCTGAATTTCCATTTGATTCAAGTTCCATAGCACGATCAAGGTTTTCCTTCCTTGCCCTGTGATTGAAAACTACAACGTATCAATAGGTAGAATTCATGACATGCTACTTTCAGAGGTAAGCATCTTTTATCTTTTTTCAGTTCTAGGTACAAAAAAGTAATAATTGCATGAGACCAAACCCCCACTAATTACAAACACAATTATCCAAAAGCACATGTTTGCCCACTTTCCTCAACTCCTATCCCAAATTTGGAATGGCTCTCACACTGCCTAAGTGGTTGCTTAAAACACATAGAACAAAAGATATAGGATACTTAACTCAAGAAGTCTATCCCAATGATTATGTATATCTTCAAGAATATCCATGGTTATGTCAAGTATCCTATCCTACAGAACCATTTGTGTAGCTACCCTACAAGGCTGTTTGCATTACAGTTCAAGTAAATCTACAGAAATATAGATAGCCAGATGGGAATGCGTATAACTCCCTTAAAAAGAGAACTATGGCACTACTAATGCTAATTGCTGGTAGTTCAAATCCCAACCCGTGACCCCTTTAGCCAATAAGCATGTCATTTAACCATCATAAGGAGAACCAAACATGGAAATCAAGAGAAAATGGAAGTGCCTAGGACTCAAATCAGGAGTTGTGTTGAACAACTGACCAAAATGCACAAAATAACTACCAATATATGCCTTGATGTGATAACCAAATGAAGTGGAACTAAGATTTTGAAACACATCTACACTACCGTGCACGCTTGTTCTCTTGTTCACTCTTCATCGGTAGATGCCCTCCATCAAAGACAAGAATAGGTCTAACTCCATAATGCCGCAATAAGTTTACTCTATGCATGCAATAGTCAATATGCCTGTAAGGTCAAACACAATAACACATGTTAGAATAAAATTTTATTTCCACTTACAACATATTGAAAGAAATAAAAAATTGCTTATGCTAATCTTGTTGTACCTATTTGGAAAAAAGCTAATATTATCGAGAAATCCATGAAAAGATTGCAATTAGTGTAAATTTTTAGCTGTCATTGGATAAAAAACACAAGATGTGCAGTCTTTTGCATTGTAATGTGAAGATTTTACTTGGCATTTTAACATTTTTAAAATATTGTTATGAGTGAAAGCAAAACTGTAATTGGAATCCAAAACCTAGCTTAAAACTCACAGGAATATGCATCTTTTAATAAAAATTGAATTAATTAAAAAAAAAAAAGACAAATGTAACAGCGGGATTGTAAACGCAGAAAGAATCAAAACCCATATGACAGTAGTCCTTGCAGAATATGGGATCTTATAATGATGTTCATGCACCTACATACAAACAGTCAATAGACATTTATGCATACAACACACATGCATTGAAACGATTGAAACAAAGAACACCCATTACCCGTCATATGGTACATGTAAATTAACATATTTTACAATACAGCAAATCACTAATTGAAAAAAAAACTCATTATGCGTATGTCTATATAATCCTAAAAATATACATTTATACAAAGAAAACCCATTATGAGTATGTCTATATACTCCTAAACTTATAGATTTATACAAAGAAACCCCATTTCCCCTCCCGTAAGGAACACCTTGCAAGAGAAATAATCTTTTACATAAAACTGTATGTATACTTATATGTGTGTGCCTATACGTATTTGGAGAGAGAAAGTGATCTACTTGGTGGTAGGTTGGCCTTTGCAGAGCTCTCTGCTGCAAGCAAAGGCTCCTTTGTGGAGCCAAGAATAGGTATCGACGGCGACGCAACAACCCTCTAGTTCTTTGATGTGGATTGAGACCATTATGGATTTCAACAGAGGCAAAAGACCTTGTATTCCCATGTTCTTACTCCTGGACTTCCAATAATATCTACAATTTCGAGGTGATGATCAATGGGTTGAACTAAAACGGCTGTGCATTTGCCCTAATCTTAAAGGATTGAGCATTCCCCCATTCTTCAGAAGCAGTGAGAGAGATTTTAGAGAGAAAAAGTGGAATGGCGGGAAGATTTTGGAGCAAATGATCATTACAGGGCAAGTTGAAAAATTCAATGTTTTTAGGGGCTTAGTTGGGAAAAAACACAAAATATATTAATTGATTTTTTTTTTTGGTTATAATTATCACTGTCTTATCAAATTTTTTATTAAATTACGTAATTTTATTTTTGATAAATTCTTTCAAGCAAGTCTTAAACTCCACGAATACATAAAAAGTTTTGTTATAATTTTGGGTTGTTTTGTGGGGTAGTATTTCTGAGTAGTGGTACAATATTGTTTGAACTTATGATTTTAAAATTTAACAATAGGGACGGTAATCATTAAATCAATTACTAATTTTCATGTTTAATTCTCATATATTATTTTTTTTTCATACTTTGTTTGAAAACTATCAATAATCTCGTGTCTTAAGATTCTGTAATATAAAAAACTTAACTATTGATCGTGCAATATTTTATATTTTAACTAATAATATTTTTTTATTATATAATTTAAAAAATTAATGTGAATAGAGAGAAAATAAAAAAAAAAAGGTAGAGAAAAAATAAGAGATAAAATAGGTGTGTATTAGTGAGGTAGTCTAGCATTGAAAAAAGTGTATTAATTGAGTTAATATTTTTTAGCCAAAAAAAAAATTGGAATAGATTTTTTATTATTGGATCAAAGTAAATAAAAAATTGATCAATTTTAATCATTGTTATACTTGTATAAATTGAAAATTCAATTTATTATATTTTTATAAGTCGAAAATTCAATTTATTAGTTGTTACATTAGATAGATAGTTTTGAGATGTTACATAGCCCAAAATAGTGGCGAACTAATTGGGGTTTTTTGGATGCGGGTACATTTCTTTAGATTTATTTGAGACAAAGTATATAGATAAGTATTTTACTCTACTAAGTTCATTTTTAATAAAACATCTTGTAATTAGGTACAAAATTCAAATGACATTTTAATTTTTTTTACTTACTTACCCTTCCTTGAATTATGCATAATTTTTATTCTTTCACTCTCTTTCTTTCTCCCTCTCTGTCTTCATTACTCAATCTCCTCTATTTTATCTCTCTATCCATTACTCTCTCTATCTCTCCCCTATTTTTTTATCCTCTTTCATTGATAATTTATTGTCTTTCCAAATATATAAAGATTTGATTTGATTTTTTCATCTCTTTATCTTATTTTCTCCCTCTCTCTCCCACTCTCTATCCTCTTATTTTCTCTCACTGTTACTCTCTCTTCTTATTTTTTGTCTCTCTCTTTTTATCAACTTAATAATAACATAATTACACCAATCAGTTATACTAATCAATTACAATTGTCTTATAATACACCAAACAGTTATTCATATGTTCTAATAAACCAAACAATTACACTAAATAATTACATAAAATTACGACATCAACTCAATTTATCATTCGGTTGTTTACATAAACTAAAAAGTTACACTATTTAGTATCACTACATGGTTACACCAATTACATACACAAAATTTGGTGTAATGGTAAACTCTTTTGTGTAATAATAAACCCAATTTAGTATACATAATTGGTGTAACCACATTGTCATAATAAATTGTGTAACTCTTTAGTTTATGTAAACAGTTGGATGACAAATTGAGTTAGTGTTGTAAGTGTAATTGTTTGGTGTATTACAGGGTAAGTGTAACTAATTATATGGGAGAGATAAAAAAATCAAATCAAATCTTTACATATTTTTAAAAAAAATTATCAATGGGGGAGAAAGAGAAAATAAGAGATATATATGGAGAGTAACGGGAAAGATATAAAGAGAAATAGGGAAGAGAGTAATGGGGAGAAAGAGAGTAATGAATGGTCTTTCAGTATTTTTTTTTTCTTAAAATGCACTTAAGGCCAAATAATTTTCTTTAATGTCATTTAACTCAATTAAATTCAAATTTTACAACTAATTTTTATGTTCTCGACTCTGGTCCATAGAATGATCCAAAAATTCTAGCCTTGGCCTTTAATTTTGTTGGGTTGGGTTGCCAGGGCTTGGAGGCCACCCTAGTCTTTAGGTAGGTTTATTAACATGAATTGAGTTTAGGTTCGATCGGATGAATTCAATGAGACTTAAATGCTCTATGATTTAGATGATGTTTTATAAAATTAAATATTTGAGCTTAGAGTCACCCTAACTCAACTTAATGGACTCACACTTATATAATCATACTCAAACTTAAATTTATGATAATGTTAATGAGTTTAGGTAAGCCATAATTATGAGTAATTATGGGTAATTCAGATTAAAAAAGAAGAAGAAGAAAGAGAATATTATAGGTATTTTAAATATGGACACCAAACTCCCTCTACCTTAATTCACAATATAAAAATATAGGAGAGAATTGTATTTTGCACCCTAAAAGATTTTAAAATTCTCACTCTATATTCTTAAATATTAAATTTATCACATTACACCTTCAATATAGTAAAAATATTGCAATGTGTCCTGTTGTATATTAGAGCACACGGCTATTTCAAAAGTCATATAAGATTTTAAACTTTAATTTTAATCGATCGCATGAGATTTACATAGATTCTTTCTCTTGATTCTTGTTGACCCATGGTTGTCACATGTGCAAAATAAAATGGAGGTCATTTGACCGTTGCTTCCTTGATTGCCTCATCAAGGATTTCCTTTGCTTTTATTTACCTTGGGTTGCACTATATAAAGCGTTGCTTGGGACAATTGCAAAATAGAACAAGCAAACAATTCTTCTTTCTTGGTCTGCTCACCGAAGCCATCCTAATCCAAAGACATCAAGTTTTTTTTAGCCAAAAATTCCAAAGCCTTCTTTTTTTGTATTCACAAAAAATTTTCTTCATTAGTATTTTGATCTCTTTAAGTATTGAGCTAATCAAGTCAAAGTTGTTCTTGACTGCTTACATTACGAGTGCACGTTTATGAGAAGCAATCATTGTTTCCTAGAGGGTAGTCGTTATTGTCCTACTGCACCAAACTTCATACTCCAAGAGACAAAATCTATCATTAACGACAGTGATTACTCACGCCTTGATTGATAAGTTTCTTTGATATCTCTTTATTATTGTATTTAACATCCGTATCCACAACTTTTTACAATAATCATAAGGATAGATCTATACCTATGGATACTGCATTGCTTACCGCTAAGGCTTTTCCCGACAGTTCAAAATTTGAGATTTTTTTGAACATCCTTTAAGAGATGACAAGAAAGAGTCTTCTCCGCATTAGATATTATAGGGATTGCCTTTGCTCTATCTAAACCCAAACCTAAAAAAGGACTCTAAACACTATGAAAGATCATTGAAAATACGGGAACATGCCAACAAGATTTGTAGGCACATAATCCTAGCACATTAGCTAATGACTTATTTGACCTATATTGTCCTACAAAGAAGCTAGGGAAATTTAGGAGTCTATGAATAAGAAATATATAGTTGAGGATGCTGGGACTCAAAAGTTTGTCATTGGGAATTTTCTACACTACTAGATAATTGATGAAAAAGATATCCAATCACAATTCAATTAATATCATAAATTTCTAGATGACCTTAAGAATGAAAACATTAAGCTCCAATAGGAGTTTGTTGCTGGAGCTCTGATTGAAAAACTTCCCTAGTCATAGAGAAATTACAAACAATCTCTAAAACACAAGCGGAAACACATGTCACTAGAAGATGTCATCGTCCACATTATCATAGAAGAAAAAAATAAAAACCAACTCAAGGCAGTTAGAGCCAAGGAGATATCCCTCCAAGGCTAACCTAGTTGATGAAAAGCCCAACCTAAGAGACAACCGAAATAGAAGGTCTGACAACAAAAATCACAGATTTGATAATAGGCCAAAGACCAACAACCCGACATTCAAAAAGAAAGGAAACTGCCTTATTTGCGGGAAACCGAGGCACTATGCTCCATAGTGCAGGTACAAGAAAAAGGAACGACAACCTTGCCAAACCAAGTGCAAACCTGGTTGAGGTGGATGTTATTGATGCGGTTGTTTCTTAGGCCAACATGGTTGCCGACATCAAGGATTGGGTGGTAGACTCTAGTGTTTCTAGGTACATTTGTGATAATAAAAGTGCTTTTACCTCCTACACACCTGTAAGGTAAGGAGAATAAATTGTTTACATGGGTGATTCAAGGCCCACTCCTATTCTGGGAAAAGGGAAAGTTCTTCTCAAACTCACATTTAGAAAAGTCTTGTCTCTGAGTGATGTTCTCCATGTTCCTGAGATTCGTGTGAATCTTGTGTCTGTGTCACTGCTTGGCAAGGTTGGGGTAAAAGTCTCTTTTGATTATGATAAGCTTATAATTACTAAGAACAATATTTTTTTCATGGGGAAGGGATATTGTAGTCAAGGTCTCTTTGTTCTGAATGTACTTGAGATTATCAATGAAAATACTAGTACTTCTTCTGCTTATATGCTTGACTCTATTGATTTATGGCATGGTAGACTAGGTCATATCAGCTTTTCTTTCATAAATAAAATGAAGGAAAGTGGCATGATTTCTGGTATCAATAATCCACAAATGGATAGAGGTGAAATATGCACAGAATGTAAAATTACCAAAAAAAGAGTTGTAAATTAGTAGAAAGAGAATCTAAACTATTGAGTTTAATTCATACTGATTTAGGCAACTTAAAACAAACAATGACATGAGGTGGGAAAAGATATTATGTGACCTTCATATATGATTATTCAAGATATGCTAGAGTATCTTTGCTTAGAAACAAAGATGAAACTTACAACATGTTCATAAAATATAAAAGTGAAGTAGAAAATCAACTAAATAAGATAATTAAAAGACTAAGATCTGATAGGGGGAGGTGAATATCACC